TCGTTGTCTTTTGATAATTGTTTATAACTCGTATGCAAGTAGCTGTTGCTATTAATTCTGCGCATAGTTTTTGTTATTACTAACTTGCTGGTGATGTTGCTTTTAGTGTTGTGTGTGCGTGTTTGCAAGCTGATTTGAGGGCACTGTTACAAGGCTGCCCGGCCCGCTCGTTTCTCAGAGTCAGTCCGTGCCGCTGTCTGTCTGGCTGCCCGTCTGTCTGTCTGCCTGTCTCTCCGTATTTCTATCTTGTCAGCCGGGCAGCCCCCAGTTGGCCAGACAACGTCTTAGCGCGTTGGCAGTTGCATTTTTGCGAGATTTATGTGGCGCGTTGCAGTTGCTGTTGCATCTAAACTTGGTCTAGGTGCTTATTGGAGCGACACAAAAGTGAGCAACAAATTTCGTGCGTGTTCTAAACGAGTTTCTGCGGCAACTGTTAGATTGTTGCTGCTTTTATTGCAGTTGTTGTTTTTATTGCTGTTGCAGTTGTTGTGGCAGTGGCTGTGACTGCTTTTGAGTGGCATCCAGCAGCGATTTGAACTTTAGGCAACTGCTTAAGGCGCTCAGCCCAACGAAGTACAGACACTTGAGCCAAATACGACCTCATTTACCAACTAATCAATCAATTCCGCCCACTTTATGCATGACAAAACAGCTAATATATACTGTCTCCTACATCAGTAGCATTTATTTACAAGGACTAACTAAGCCCACAATAATAATAGATAAAAACAATGTGCAGACAGTGTTGGTAATAATAGAATGCTTTATCCAAAATAAAGTAGAAATTTCTAGTTTAAACGCGCTCTCTTACTCGCAGTGGCATATAATAAAACTTGTTAATTTGTGGCTCACGCTTAGTTGATTGAAATAAGATCTTTCTATATATAAAACAGACTGTCTGTTGAAGCTGTAAAGTCTGAAAGTTTGCTTTTGCTTAGTCTTTTAATAGAATGGCGTGAGTACACCCACAATGGTGGAAAATAGGTGGATAGCTGTTGGAATACCTCTTTTTTACTTATTAATAGCTTCCGCTTTTATAATCCATATCAAAACTAAATAAAAACGTCGAAAAATCGACGCTAGAAAAGATCGGATCCACTGCCATGGTTTAATTTATTTCCGACTCCAAATAATGGTCAAATAATATTAAAGAACTTTACCTGGGCAAAGTTAAACACAAACAGCTTTTATTTAATATGGCAACTATAATCAAATAATACTAATTTTAATTTTATTTTCCAATCAATATGACAAGAAGAAGGAAATGTTTTTATCGCGCTACGACGGACTGAAAGATTGAAGAAATTACAAATGGGTTACATACAAGAACCAGAGAACAAAAGAAAAAAACTGAATTGCAATGTTTATGAAATATTGAAGGAAAAAAATGTACACAGACACCATAAAACTGATTAATGAGTGATTGAGAAATTGATAGAGTTATTATCAGCTTCGATTCTTATCGGTGTGTACTAATTGTGCAAGCGCCATAATTTCCTACGAACTTTAGCACAATACTTTGGCAATATCCCTATTAAACCTTAAAGCCATGTCGTATCTTAGTCATATCAATGACAGCTTGACTAGCCCCACAAAGCCCCGGCCGGAAAAAAACATTCACAAATATTCATTGAGCACTTTGGGGCTATGTAAATAAGTAAATGCTTAAGTGCTCGTAGCCCAGACTATCATTATAATTGCGCTGGGCTAAAACAAAAAGAGCCAAAAGAAAAAATTTGATTGATGAATATAATTTTTGTTTGTTTTTTATGTTTTTGTTTCTGTTTTATTTTGGAGAGCCAAAATGGAAGCGAACATTAATTAGTGCCAATAAAATTAAGCGAGAAATGTGTCACATGAAGGAACGACATAAACAAATAGAAGAGGAGCAACAAACCATCTACAATGCTCGGCCAGAGGTCAAACAAGGTCATGGTCGGACTTTACGGAATGCAGCAAATTTCTCGTATTTGTTTTTCTTGTGTGGAGGTCAACATAAAATATGTTATATAGTCTTTTGTTTTCTATGGCGACTAATGACGGCCCACGCGTCAACTTGTAAATTTTATAATTATAAATGTTTTATGTTTTTTTTTTTTGTTATTCATTTTTCTTGACGTTTTATGCGCCTGTTACACACAGTCGCCGCACAGTGGCTGCTTATAATTTATTATTATATTAATTACGCGCAGCGTCTTGGCTTTAACAAAAACAACAATATTCATATTTGGCTAATGGGCCAAAGGCACGCAAAAGCAGCCCAAAACAATTTGTAACTGCACAGCAAAAGCGCATAAAATTATTTATATATGTATGTATTACTTTGTATATAAATTCTCTAGTTTGTTTGCCTCGCAAGGCTTGACATTATTTATGCTCAGGACAGCAATACACACACCCTCACACACCCTCACACACACACACACACACACATACATTGTACTGCCAAGGCAACCAAATGGGTCAAGTGTAAATATCTATTTTTTTTGTGGCATTTTGGTCGACGAGTTGATTTGCTTAAACGCAAAGTTCAATGCGAAATGAGTGCATGGTAAAGGGGCTTTGGGGTGGCAGATTAACCGACAAAGAAAATTCTGGGCACGCAAAAGTTTTAATTACGAAAAGAAGAAAAAAGGGCAAAAGAATAGCAAATAATTGCGTAGGTGGAGAAATTTGGAGAAAATTACAGTGGGCAAAACGCAATTTCATCGGAAATGTGAATCAATTGAGTTAACCCAATTTATTAATAAAATTATTTATATAATTAATTTGTATCTTGCACTGGCTACAACTTCAACTACAACTAATGCCTCGAATGCCCAGATCCTCGCTGTTGTTCAGTTAAAAGAGTGAATAATCTACATATGATTACTGGTCCAATCCTAGTCAAAGGATCTTTAAAACCCAAGCAAGCTGTTGCCTTGAGAATTATAAACTAACTCACGAACTAAACTCTAAGTATAGAATCATTACGATTATGCTTGATTAGTTCATTCAATGATACATTTCGTTTGGTATATAATGCGGTATGGTATATAATCCCACATGATTTAAACAGAATAGAACAATATTCATACTTGTGTAACTGATTCCTTTCATATAATATACACCCAATATAGTTTCCCATATTTCCATTAGACATAACACATAAGAGTATTATATAAAGACGAGCAATATATATTATAAAATCCCACATAATATTCATAACTTATACAGAATAGAACAATATTCTTATTATTGTAGCTGATTCTTTAGAAAAACCAAACATCCAATATAGTTTCCCATATTTCCATTAGACATAATTCATAAGAGTAGAATATAAACCAACATTAGTTGCACAGAATTTACTTGCTCTTCGAAATTTAAAATAAAGAGAAACTCGAAAAATTTAATTTCTAATTTGATTTTTAAATAACCTTTTTTCAATTAAAAAGGGATGTGTTTTAATTTTAGAGAGTCCCATGCAGCTCATATTCCATATAAATAACTGAATAGTTTGTGTAATACGGATTTAGAAATATGATTCTAATTAAAATCTAATCTAATTTTATACAAACTATATATGATTGTTGTTTCTTAGTAGTATAAAAACACACACAAAACCGCTAACTGGGTCGCAAATTTCTTATCATAAGTCGCACTATTAGTGTCAAACGTAAATAATTTTACACTGATTCATTGAGCAATTATTAATTTGAATTATATTAAACACCCTCTGACAGTTATTATTATCTCGAATGGTGTTTCCCGGCAACTGAGTCTAATTGAAATTAGACCAGAACAAAAGCACGTAGCAGGAATTATTTCAATGGGAGGAGCATGTGCTCAACATGTGGCCCGAGCAGGTTGCCAAAGCTTTTGGCCCCCGACATACCAGAGGCCGGCGAATACCGAGAACTCGACTCACCCCCTGACAGCTGCAACGAGTCCGACTAATTAAAGGAATGCCAAAGGCTGGTGCAGAGAGGAGCGGAAGCTGTCCGAGGCACAGTCACAGGCAGAACAGTTGAGCTGATGGACTCGCTACTCGCTTGGTTTGTTGTGTTTTTAAGGGGTTGCTGTGTTTCATCAACTTCAAGGCGATGCCCAAAACAAACAACAATCAATCTTAAGTCGTGTGTGTATGAATTGCTGATCAGCCAAAATGCAAACATTGCTCGCAAAGCCAAATTTACCTAGCATCTATCACATCAGATCTGATATAGAATAACTAGAATGGAATTTTTCATACCCCAAAAGAAAAACTTTTATTTCATAATGTCTGCGATAATTAAAATTCGGAAGTAGTTTAAAATCATAAAAAAACAAGAGGCTTTAGTTCCCGACGGACGGACTCGGCTTTTGATGCTGATCAAGATAATATATACTTTATGGGATCGGAGATGCTTCCTTCTGCCTGTTACATACATTTGCACAAATACATTATACCCTTTTTACACATTTTTAATGGGTTCATAATTCATTCTTTTCTTAATTTTTTTTAACAAATATATTTATATGTTTATATAAATTTAAACTCTGAGTTATCGGAATACCTGACTGGGAATAAATCAATTTATTTCATCCATTTGTTATCGGTTCATCTACAGAAAATCTTTTATACTCTTTAAACAATGTATATCAATATAGAAACTGATCTTTAGTTTACTTTGACTGTCGAATTTGTCGAATATTTCATTGGTTAATTAACTACGATTTGGTATATGCACAAATTAATGTTTCATATTTATGCCCCAAAACTGGTAGAACTATCGGACAATAAACACAGAATTCAAGCGTTTCCTGGACATAGTATATTAGCACGACCAATCAGAACGAACTCCCAATTGGAATTATTGATTTCTGTAGAATAATCGCGGCATAGGAAGCAATAAAATCATGAGTAGTAAGTTTGATATTATGAGAAAGCAATTCTGATTCGCGTTCGATATTACGGACAATACTTTGCGAGTTGTTCTCTCTATATGATCTTCGTAATTCCGTACTCAGTAGATACTCACTGTGTTGATATTTGTTGCGACTGGGTATGCAAAGTCCAATTGGGGTTTCTTTTGATGGCGAGTGTTGTTTCCATGATAAGTATATGCCCAGCCAGACCCAAGTAGATGTATTAGTTTCAGTTGTAGCTGCAGCTATAGTTGTAGCTGTAGTTGTAGTTGTAGCACTAGTAGTAAGTAGTAGACATATAGACGAGACGACAACAACGACGATGGTAACGAAGGTGACGAGAATGCGACATGTTTGTGCATCTTCTAGAATTCAGCAAACTCCTTGGCGCACTTTTCGGTGCTGGAAATCCGCAGGGCCTCCTCCTCGTAGTCATCGAAATTGCTTGTATCGCCGGGACCTTTACACCGCGGTATGAACGGCGCCTCGATTTTCTTTTGGAAGATCGCAATCCAGTCCGTGGAGGCGAACCATTTCTGGTTCTTAATATCATTGACGCCCGCTTTCAGATTGCCATAGCGCTTGGTCAGATCAACCTGCAGCAGATTGCGCAGCAGATCCTTTAGATCGGAGCCAAAGTGCGAGGGGAAACGCACCTTGCCGGAGACGATCTTCTCATAAATCTGTATGGGCTGGTCCGCAAAGAAGGGCGGATACCCGGCGGCCATTTCGTAGACCAAAACGCCAAGCGCCCACCAATCGACGGCCTTGTTGTAGCCCTTGGACAAGATGATTTCGGGTGCCAGATACTCGGGCGTGCCGCAGAGCGTCCAGGTGCGACCCTTGACCCGCTTGGCAAAGCCAAAATCGGTGACCTTCAGATAGCCCTGCGAATCGATCAATAGATTCTCCGGTTTTAGATCGCGATAGATGAGGTCGAGATAATGCAGATACTCAAAGGCGAGCACAATTTGTGCCGCATAGAAGCGCGAATGCGGCTCCGAGAAGCGTCCGACTTTGCGCAGATGCGAGAACATCTCGCCGCCGGGCACATACTCCAGCACCATATAGAGATTGGAGTTGTCCTTGAAATGGTAGCGGAGCGAGACCAAGAATGGAAACTGTATGGCCTGCAGGATGCGTTTCTCGTTCAATGTATGCTCCACCTGCTTCAGCTTGACCACCTTCTGCTTGTCCAGTATCTTCATGGCATAATAGTCTTTTGTGGGCTTGTGCTGGACGATCATGACGCGGCCAAAGGAGCCGGTGCCGAGCGTCTTGATCCGCTCAAAATCATCAAGGGCGGCGGTATTGGTCGGATTGCGACGCCATTTATCCTCAAACTCCTCCTTGGCCTGTTCAAGGAACTCCTTGACCGTCTCGGCGGCATCCACCTTCTTGTTGGATGTGGTCGCGTTGTTGCCCATTTTCGAGATGGTGCCCGTTAGCGAGGATAAACGAAACGTGGCGCTTGCTGACACTTGAGCCTGGGGTGAGCTGCTGCTGCTGTTGCTGGGCTGCTCCTCGCCGGAGGCAGCAGCTGCTTCAGATTTTCTTTTTGTTGTAGCTGTTCCAGTTCCTGTTGCGTCGGCTGCTCCTCCTGCTGCTCCTGCTGTTGCTCCTGTTGCTGCTGTTGTTGTTGTTGTGGTCGACGGCGTTATTTTGTGGCTAGCGGCGGCTGCTTCCTGCTGTCCTCCCCCTGCACCACCGCCTTCCTCCTCGTTGCTGTGCTGCTGCTGTAACTTGCCCTCTGATCCGCTGCCGCTGCCGCTTGCCGTTCCTGAACTATGATGGGATTTTTTCTTTTTGAGAAATTGTAAAATGGATTTAGCTATTTTGGCGAATTGATTAACAACGGTAAAAAGAAAATTTTAGCAATGGCTTTTTGCTAGTTTTTTTTTTAGCAGCAAAGCGCAACTATTCACTTCTGTTTTAGCCTTTTCTTTAGCCGTAAAAACTGACTGTTTTTATTTTGCTCTTGTAGTTGTTGTATTAGTGGAAACTTCTGCACTTGTTGTTGTTGTTGTTGTTGGTGTTGGTGTTGTAGCTTTAGATGAATATATATTACTTTGTTTTTATTTGAATTTTTATTTTTTTGCTTAACACTTTGCGGGGCTTAAACTAGTTTTACACTTTAAGCTTAGACTAACATTTGGTTTAACACTTGAAATTTTATCCGCTTGTTTATAATTTTTATATATTTTTTGTTTTTATGTGTAGCTGCAAAGAGAATGTTGAGGAAAAGGATAATAACAAAAATTAGCATAATAAATTTGATTTTTTTTTTGTTAAGTGTGTGTGCGTGTGTGTGTCCGTGTGTGTGTGCAGCGTTGCCATACAGTTCTTTAGTTTCTTTGATTTCTTACTTCACATTCATGGAAAAAAGGTTTTTGTTATACACTATTTATTTTTAGTTATACACTTTTTTTTTTAGCTATACACTATTTAGCGCACCATTTAATTTTTAATTACAAATTGTTTATATTTTTTATTAACCATTGACTATGTGGCGATTTTTGTCATTGATTTTGCTTTTTTGTGTTTTTGCATTTGTTTTTGCGTCAATTGAAACCAAAGTATGCATAAGAAAACAATTTAACTCAATAAATAAATCAATTTGCATTAATTAGCACAACGCAAAAATCAAAGCAAAACTCATTTAGGAAAAACAAAAAAAAAAATTAAGTACAACAAAAAAAACTGTCGACGATCGTGTCAAGTGTCAAAACAGCTGATGGCCGTCATATGGTGCGCTCTCGCTCGCACTTACTCGAAACCGCATCAGCTGCCAGCTCAGTGAGAACTTTTGTCTTCTGCTCTAAACTCGAGCTAAGGCATTAAATTAATTATTAAATCTTTCGCTGTGCGTTTGCATTTTGCTTTTACACACGTTCACTGTGTTTTGCTTTTGTCTCATTTGGGTTTGCACTTGTTTTTTCGCAATTGCTTTGCGCTCATTTACTTTGTGTAAGCGTGTATACGTTCGTGTATGTGTAAGTGTATGTGTATGAGTACGAGTTTGTGTGGTGTGTGTATGTGTATCTGTGGCTGTGTGCGTTTCTGGTTGGACTTTTTTACGCTCTGCTTTTGGTATACACTTCTCTACATTTGCTGTTTGCTTTGTCGCTTGTGTTTTATTGGTATTTTCTCTTCTATTTTTTGTTGTATTTTAAATTAGGTAAATTGGCATATTTTGTTAATTTTTCCGTTTATAGTTGTATGCCCCTTGTATAAAAAAAACTTTAAACAAACACAGAAACACAGGCACACGCATACACACACGTTCACACAGATTGAATAATCGATTTTGCTACACACACTTAAAATTTGCTATGCATTTGTGGTAATTTACCTTTTTTTTAACTAATTCTATGTTTATAGCAATTCTCAACACATTTAGAAATTTTTGCAATTTTTCGCATGAATTTTTTCTGAATTTTGCACTTTAGATTTGTTGCTTAGATTTAAAATACCCGCATTTACCGCCGAAAAAACCCGACCACACGCGTCAACAGCAAGATATACAATAACAGTTTAAAGTAACAGCTGTTAACGACAACGCACGATGTTAACAAGTGCTGTTCTCAACGGTCCAATAAGCAGTAGGTATAAATACGCGCTATAGAGAGAAGAGAGAGAATGAGCGCAACGTTATAACATAGGAACATGTTGCGCTGTTATGCTAAATTCGCCGTAATATTCGATATTTTTGAAATCGAGTTGTTCGCCGGAACCAAGGTATTGCACCATGACAAAAGCTGGAGGACTACTATAAAAGTCTTAAATATTTATAATTATATATAAAATAAATGAAAAACATCCTAAACAATTTGTAGCGAATATGATTTAAGGTTGGTACATTCCATAAGAAATTGCACACATTTGTTATCGATAGGACGCTAACAAACTACTTCTGGTATTTTTACCAATAACTAGTATTTTTTATGCAGACAGATTTGTGTATTTGGCGGCAATCCAGTTGCGACCCACAATAAATATTGATAGAGAAAAACATAAACAAAAACGGATTTTTTAAAATTGCACATTCCATTTAACATGGATCAAGTGTGTCGCGTTTGCACAAGCAGCGCCGTCACACTCGTGGATATATTCGCCAAGCGAGATCAATCAGAGGAGGAACCCTGCCTGGCTGAGATGCTAAACGAATGTATCAACTGCCTTGTGCGGCGCGACGATCCATTTCCCAAACAGATTTGCCTCTCCTGCGTACTGGCCGCCCAGAATGCGTATCGCTTCAAGAAGAGATGCGAGCAGAGCCATAAGCACTTTTGCCAGCTGCTGGGCTTAAGCGAGGATTGCTGTGAAGATTGGCAGTTTCCAGAATGTGGCATCAAAGTGGAAACTAATGAGATGGAGGAACAGCTGGGACACGAGCTCGTACCGCCCGACATAGGTGGGCGCATTAAGCTCGAACCGGTAGACTCCGTGGAACAGAGTTCTGCGACGAGTATTGATGCTGCCCAGCTAAATGAACCAGTCAAAGCTAATCCAAAGTCAGTGCCAAGCGATAAAGCAGAGCAATGTCCAGTGTGCTCAAAGGTGTTCGCCAATCGCGGCAGTCTCAAGCGTCACATACGGATACACTCCGGCGAGCGGCCCTACAAATGCATCTACTGCCAGAAGGCGTTCAATCAGAGTTGCAATCTGGACAAGCACATGCGCGTCCATTCTGGCGAACGACCGTACAAGTGCGGGCAGTGCCTGAAGGCCTTCACCCAGAGCAACCATTTGGCGAATCACCTGCGCATTCATGCCCACACCAACGTTGACGAGCTGCATCTACAGCCACACAGGCGCACACATTCCAGCGAAACGAACTGGGCGGAGCTGGAGGGCCACCGCAGCCGTGCTGTGCATGCTGTTGCTGCTGCTGCTGCTGCTGCTGGCGAACGTGCCCACAAGTGCAGCCTCTGTGCGAAGGCTTTTACCAGCAAGTGGTATCTGCAGGAACACCTGCGCGCTCATTGTGGCGAGCGATCCTTTAAGTGCTGTCATTGCCCAAAGAATTTTGCCAACCGCGGAGATCTCGAGAGACACAATCGCGTTCATTCCGGCGAACGGCCGTACAAATGCTCGCATTGCCCAAAGACATTCAGCCAAGCTGTTAACCTGGAAAGGCATAAGCGCGTCCATTCAGGTGTTAGACCTTATCAGTGTCCCCATTGCCACATGGCTTTTACACAGAAAAGCCATTTGGTCAATCACATTCGCACTCATTCAGGAGAACGTCCGTTCCAGTGCTTACACTGCATGAAACGCTTTACCCGACGCGAGTATCTCGGAAAGCATAGTCGTATTCACTCACTTAAATAAGCACTGACCCCAAAGTAGAAATAAATTAAATAAATATAAATAAAGAAAATTCTGTTACATTAAAACATCTTTGGCATTTTGAAAATTCTCAAATTTATCGAAATCGAAAAGTCGATTTTATAAAGTGAACAGTATCTTTCGAGCTTAACATACCAACGCACTGTTAATTTAATACTGCTCTATTGTGAACCATCAGCATATTGCCATGAATTAACAGCGTATTGCTGTAAAGTAAGCTGCGACAAAAAGAATACAACAAAAATCCGCATACGAAAGAAGTAATTTAACAAAACAAATAATAAACAAATAAAATGTGAAATACGCAGTTCTTTAACTAGCACACAGCTACTTTCTCAAAAGTTAATTGCAATAAAATATAACAAAAATCTGTGACGCTGGTATATATACGTATACATATATACGTATGCGATTGTGTTGTGTTGTGTGTGTGTGTGCGTGCACTTTGTTTCCTGCTGCATAATTAGTTACCTTTTTTGTTTGGATTATTTGCCTGGTAAGTCGACAATAATTTATTAATAAAACAAAAATACAATAAAATTGCCTACTAATCAGTTTTGGTCGCGTGCCCCTGTGACTCAATAAGCCGATGCAGGTGCGTCTTTACCTGACGACAGCATTATACAAACCTTAGTCATGCTCATTCCATTCGCCTGTTAAAGGCCTACATAAGAGCTTTATTTGTTGTCTGTCTGCAATGTTTGCACTCTGTTGTTGGCGCCGTTTGGGTGCAAGTGCACTCAAAATGCACCCAACTTACACCCGTACGATACGGACATTCAACCTAGTAAGAACAGACCTTAACCCTTGTAAGATGTTATTCTGTTAGCATTCAAAGGGTTACAGTTGATCACTTAACAACTATGGCACACCAAAGCGAACTGTATAATTAGTGTGAATTACGTTGCAGTCAAAGTCAAACTAAATGCGCCTGATATAAGGCAAATAAAAATAATGTCAAAAGGCTGCAACGCTTGTCGACTGCAAACTAAAGCGTATGAGAGTGTGTGTGTGTGAACGTATGCATGTGTGTATGTGTGTGTGATAGTGCGTTCATTCACTTCCAAAATGGGTTTTGCAACGCTTTTCTGAAGCTTTAATTGTTGGCGTTCAGTTCGGCCTTCCACACATAGTAATTACTGTGCTTGCTGCTGTCTCCCTCTCGCTAACTACGCAACTCTTCTTTTTTTTTGTATTCTATTTATCACCGAACTTTATCTATTTACATGCACCCAATTACGTACATACGTTCTAGGTGCGCGTGCACCGAGCCAAACGTTTTGGCATATGACAAACAATAACAGCTCAGTAAAAAAATACATGTAATTTTAATGGTTGTGAACAGCTGTTAGGCGAACAGTTTATTTATATAGTAACCTGATCTTTGTTAAAATTTGGTTAAACTGTGTAAAAGCTTTTTTTTTACTGATCATTACAAATTTTCTAATGAAAACTAAATAGTTGCAAGAAAAAGAATCTATGCCTAATTCTGATTATTTTTTTAGCCGACAAACTTTTGTAGTCTCAACAGATTTTTTTAAGCAAAGCTCTCAATATGAAAAATTATAAACGCATGTCTGTTTTATGGAACTGCACTTAAGAGACCTTTTACTTTTATTTTAAATACAGTACGGGGAGACAAGGCATATGGATGAGCATATTAAAAGGCGAAAAATTCTTTTAGACAGAAATTTACTTTGCCCAAGACGTAAATAGGCTGAGTTCTTTGGAATCCTAGGCTAGTGTATGGATTTAGTATTGTCTTAGCCAAAGGCCATAGTTCCTAGTACCCTTTGAGAAGTTAAGTGGATAGTTTGTAACTACATATATACTCTACTTCTCAGTTTAAGCGTAATGACTAACAATGTCCGTGCAATTCAATAAAGTTTCTGTTTTCCTGGGCTGCTTCGAAAGGGTCACCAGATATTATGATATAATGATTCGATTTGATTTGTTTATAAGGTTTATTAATTAATATTTAGAATCTTTCAGAGTCATCTGTCATATATGTCACTTAGCTGTAGTTGCCTGGCATCAGTTCAAAGACCATTTTCACTTTCGAATCGCACGTCACACGCAACGTGGCCGGGCGGGCATCTCTCGAGCATTTCACTTAAATATGATTGAATCAGTTTAATTGATTGCACACATGCATACCTATACACACATACACGGGAAGCGTGTGTGTAAATATAGAGCATGATTTTGTTGTTTACGCTTATGATTTTGTTGCATCGCTCGCAATTTGCAATTTGAGGGCAGGTCAGTCCGCAGAGTCGAGTCGAGTCGAGCCATGGCAATGCTGCAGCGCTGGCAATAAATATATAAAAAAAAAAAACAAAAAATTGCTCGCACAATTAATTTACATTTATTACACGTGCCGCTCTTTGCGCCTCCCTTCAGCTCCTTCACAAGTCGCCGACGACACGCGCTACCCAAAGCGCCCCGTCCAAATTTATGCCTAGGCCTCCGGCCCCGTGGAAATGTAAATGTAACACTCACTTAGATGCCTTCTGCCGTATAAAATTAAGTGCTCTGCGAGGCCCCCCGTCCCCCTTTAAATATAAATGGGGGGATTGGCTGTATGCTGTCTGTGCGTAGGTGGGCAACCTATGACACCTGGGACATGCATGCATATCAAATGAGATATGAATAAGGTACATTTAAAACTATTAAATAGAAAGTCTAAAGCTGAATTATGCTCCTACTCGAAGCGATTGTTATTTCATCTATCTTAAGGAAAATATAGTTTCTACAATTCACTCGTTATAGAGAATCTAAGGCATAGAACTGGTCACGATTCCAGTAATTAGGTTATTAGAAGCAATTAGGTTATCAGACCATTCAACTTGTTAATTTATTTTTTTTAATTGTTAGGGAATACAAAATTTCAAGAAATTTAATCTATACCATTATGAAAGTAAGCTTTTGTTTATCAATATTTTGATACATTATTTTGTATTTATATGGAGCCTTACAAATTTAGAGGAATAAGCGTATATATTTATTTGTTTCGTGAAATAATTTTAGTACCCTCAGCAAAAGCTTCACAAAAATATTTTGCATATTCTGAGCGAATTTCTATACGAAAAAAAATTAAAGAAATCTACTGTTCTCTGATTAAATATTAAAATATTCTGCATATTCTAAGTTTCTATAGGAATAAAAATAAAATAGATCTACGGTTCTCTGATTAGTTTTTTAGTATCTTTATCTTTGTTATTAGATATAAATAAATTCAGAAGAAATATCTGATTTATGTTGATATTCAATTCTTGATATATTTGTTTGTAATGGAATTTGGGAAAAATATTCAATTCTTAGTCAAGTTTTCTGTCTTAATATAAAGTTCACTATTCACAAAATACTTCGAGTAAAATCGTGTATCTATTAAATAGCATTAGTCAACTTTCTTCTATGAACTATAGCAAGACTTTTTTCTATAACAAAACTGCTTGATATTTTTGTATCTGTTGGCACATATGCAATTAGGAAACCAATTATTTGCCCGTAGATTGAAAAGCCAGTGCCATTTGAGAGCTTTCACACGAATAGCTAAAAATCATATATGATATATGTATATTCATGTGCTGTTTTAGCCAAGCATTTAATTGGCAAGGGTAACCAGACTTCAGCGTTGTCTTGCCCGCGGAGACTAATTAGTCAGCGAGCAGCCGCGCCCTTTGGCCAAGTGCAAAGGTGCGTTCTCTACGTCCATTATATGTTTTCTCGTTTTTGCTTCTGGTCTATATGAATATAAAGCTAACATAATTCTCTTGCAGCTAACACTAATATTACTCAGACATTTAGTCGCATAGTGCTGCCCCCTCATACGAATCAGCGCCCTCAATGAACCAACACGTGCTCCCAATTCAAGTACTGTGAGTATTCAACTTAATCGAATGGTTTGATCCTTTGCATGAGTTTGAAGCTGGCTTTTGCATGTGCCATGCATTTACTACAACATATTAGAGTATACTATGCATGAATATGCCCGAACCTATTGCTACTATATCGCACTGCGCAATCAGCAAACCATTCGTATCGATTCGTATATTTGTATGGGGGGCTTATTTATTGTTATTTTACTTGCGTAATTTTAGTTTTTGCTGTTTTTATGACAGCGTCTACGCTGGCTCGCATGTTAGTTTAAGTTTAAATGCTAAAGTCCCTAATGGGAGAAAACTTGATATATGAAGTGTTTACGTTCAATGTCCGAAAGCAAGTCTAAAGTATAAAGCCTATGCACAAAACTGAACAAAAATGGTCTTGTACTGTTAATACGGGCTGTTACGAACAATAATGTTATGTGGCCTTTAACATAAGTATGTTATGAGTAATGTTAAAATATTGAGTGGATCGCCTACTAAATTGCGGCTTTTTAGACATAATATAATATAAGTCTAAATTCTCGCTGCTCCCCCATATTTTCCAATCTAATCGGCATAAATGTACTAAAAAATCAATGAGTCACCCAGGCGATGTTTTGATAAGGAGACTGCAATTACTTTGCCCCCTGTCCAATTTGTCATTAAGCCGCTGACTTTGCGATGACTGATCTTTGGTTATACGCCATAGCTAAGCAGCCAATGGGTATTACTGTGCTGATATTGTTACCATATGATGTCTAGGCACAAAGTTTCGACTCGTAATCACCCAACGTCAGGGTTTGGGTGTGATAAAGTGCGTTGCCCTTATCAGCTAGTTTACCATACACATCTATTTTGGGGGTGTACGAGTACGCATAGGGTAGCCTAGCCGAATCTTCTGATAACACAAACCTTTCACTCAACGCTTTTTATGTTAAGAAAAAACGTATAAAACAGATTTTTATGTGAAAGAAAATAAATAAATGAACGCAGGCAATTTGTTATGAAAAGAATTCTAAATGCGAAAATATGCTGCATATGGTAATAGCATCAATTAGCGTTCTGTGAGTTTGTGTGGATTCCATCTGTTTGAGAATTTATGTGTTTCTGTTTGGCAAACTAGTAAACACCTTTGTTTATTTGCACCTGAGTTTTTCTTTTAATGAACACTAATAGCAGCTAAATGGAAATTAATTGTATCGTCGTGCATATTTCAAGTAAATCTGATGAGTTATTTACGTAATCGTAAATCAATTATTATGCATCGAGGTTCATGAGATACACTCGAGGATGGAATTGCTAATTAAAATACAATAAAGGAAGATCATGGGTGCAATAATAATATATAAATTATAAGCTGAAGAGCTGTGCTGAGGTATGAATTACCCTAACATTAAGTAATAAGTACTTACCAAGAAAATCGCATGCAAGAACGGAGGTACACAGACACATCACTGCAAAACTGAAGAAATAAAAAGCGGGTTAGAGAAGGGGAAATTAAATTATAAAGATAAAGCAAGTGAATTAATAAGAGTGATAGACATAAAGTGTATTTGACTTTAAGTAGAACTTCTTAAATTTATACATGAACTCAAGTCTTACTTCAAGTCATGATAATCGCTTTGAAAAATAAGTAAATAATAAGGTATATTTTAACAATGTGAACTAAACTTGGACCTAGCGCGGATCAAGTATTCGTGTTTAAATTTTAAACATAATTTATCCACGTATTTTCCACCGTGGAAAATATTATTCTTTTCTAAAAATATTATTCTTTCCTAGTTAACTAAGAATAAATTGCAATCAGCAACTCATACAGCGGCCATTGTTTTTATATATATAATATACCTTTTAATGTCTATAAAGATATTAGTCTTAACCATAAAAATTAATATCAAAATAAAACAAAGAGATGGAAGTATATGTTACACTCACGCCCCTTTTGAGCGTAGTTTTGGTTGTTCTTCTCAGTGTTGTTAGACACGCCCTATATGAAAAAAAAAGTACAAGAATGATTGTGATTATATAAGTTTTTTGATAAAAATGTGATAAACCAAATTTAATTATCATTAAATCCTTGCCGTCATAGTCATGCGCTATCATTTTTAGAGCAGCGCTAATCTCGAGAGCAGCTATTGCAAAAAAATAAAACAAAAACCCAAATGTTGAAACGTGCCTGTGCTTAAAGCTGTGAAAATGTGGTATCGTGACAAGATCCATATTTCTGTTCAATCCATCAGCATGTGTAAATATTGAAACGCACTCACGATCGTTCGTTCAACTAGGGGCCGTGGACGTCACAACTTCAACCAAACACGCCGCGCCGTCCGCTTCTGCCCCTTGGGAGCGTCCGATCATGCGATGATGGGCTACTTGTTGCGCTGCATAGACCAGAAACCAGTCCATTGTAACTTTGCTGCGGGCGCCACAAAACTAGTTTTGCTGTGGTCGCTTTTTTCTCTCCATATTTTCTTGACCACACTTCAGATACATGCTTTCAATCATTAATAATACTTAGTTGGTTACGAGGGAGTGGCTTATACAATTTGAGCTAATTTTCGCTTATATCTCTTGTCAAAATAAAAATGTTTTGCATTTTTAGAAATTTCTTTAGATGTAAATTATTCAGATTCTACAAAGTACACAAGCCCTGCAGTTAAAATCCGACCGCACTAAATGCTTTTGCATTTGAAGATATAAATAATTATATGGCTGGCAATAAAACTGCAGTTTACACAATCGTTAAATGCCGATTGGTATATTTTCAAGTGGCTTAAACATCTGTCGAGATATGTTTGTTATTCGTACGACCCTCCAGTTGATCCAGCCAATAACGATGCATATATATATATATATATATATTCTCTCGATAATAACACACAATTTTTGGCAATTATTTGCCATAATTTATTAATATGAACGCCCAATTTTTAATTGACGACAGAGCAAAGCGAACGAAGCGCTGCGCTAAAAGGCCAGACATATATACAGAGATAGTTATTTTCATACATATATGGTAATGTACATATTTATATGCATGTGTGTGTGCAATATTCAACGCATGCTGATCCGAAGCTTAAATTTATTTCAATGTTAATTAAACAGCCAAACGGTTTTTGTTTACAGACGCGTCGCGCCTTTAATGTACCACGTACATACTTCTGTACAAACATATGTGTGTTCAACATTAATTAATTGATTTTTAAACTATTGTGGTACGAACTTTTTTCATAGGCCTTTTTTCTCTCATACACACATGCACTGCTTGCCTCTGCCGGGCGTGACGTATACGCAGCGTGCTCTCCTGTGCACTGCTTGCGGCCAAACTCAACACGATCGCTGTTAAAGTTTGCGGCAGTTAACAGTGCGAACTAGTGATGAGCGCGTGTCGTGGCAACAGCCTGACGAAAGCTTTAAGAAATTAGAATACAGTTACTTGGGAGCTATGCTTAAATTTGTACGTAAATTGAACTAGTTAAAAATTGCTATATGAAACAAGGGCTATTTATAAATACCAAGTCATTGTCATTAGAAGCTATTCTATTTTTATATTTGTACAAATAAAAATTTAGAAATATTTTTAAGTATCGCAGCCAGACTATTAATATATTTTTAATGATTGTGCATGAATCAGCATAATAAAATGCAGCAGTGGACGGAGATCTCTCTGAAATACACTTGTTCATCACTAGCGCGAATCGCCGGGCAGTTAACAGAGTGCTTGCTGCGTCACGCACAGCTACACAGAGAGATACTTTTTAGTTAACAGCCTGGATCGCAACAGGTTCTCTCTTTTAGTATAGGCAGCGTCGGCCTCGCGTTATGATCGCTCCGGTGCGTTGGCACGCGTTCTCAAACTTTTGCGACTGTGTGCACAAACAAAAGCAAATCAACAAACAAACAAGCTCATAAATACCCAGTGCGAGTATCTATAGGAAATACATATAAAAACAAAACAAAAAAATACAGACACTCACACTCGCACACATTTACCCCTGTGCTATTTTTATTATCGGGCTTCTTGTAATGTGAAAACGCTCTTTCAACATAACCAAAACGGACCAGTTATAATGCTAGGGACGCCGCAGGCGTCTCTTTTCGAGTATTACGAGTATTATTTTGATCTAAGCAACCATTGAAAACAGCTAAAATGCAATACACGGTGGGTACTACTCGCTCTCTCTCTCTCTCACTCTCTCTCTCTCTCTCTCTTAGTCTCTCAGAGACCTTCTGCACTTTTGGTCGCTTGCCTGCCTCATTATCACGTTCGCCCTTTGACCGCGTGTCGCCACGAGCTATACGAGCAATATATGTAAATATTTCCGGTCCAATATGCAGCACTCCCCATAGGCTAGGGCTTCAATAGAGCCCTATAGGGTATATAGCTGCAAAATATTTTGCAATTAAACAGTTGCTCTGCTTTGTCTTTTGCCATAAAAACGCTCGTTTATCTTATCGCTAGTCAGCTACTAAAGTTCTTCTAGAAAGCAAAAGCAAATAAGCAACGGCAGCAGCAACAAGCAAATATTAAAATTTCTAGGCATACACATTCACAATTTATTTATGGCATAATTTCAATGTGTTGCCAAATGTTGTTGCTGAAACTATAAAGAAAAGGTGTGAAATTGTAAGGTTTACATTTTTACCGCTTGGCTATGGCTGTGAATTAAGCAATTATAGCTTGTATGCAAGAAAAAGCACTTTAAACAAAAGCTTTTTATTTAATTATATTAATCGATATATAATTGTATTAAATGTCCAAAAAATTAAGCTCTTTTAAACATCGTATGTACACGGGAATTCTCGGGAACATTTTAATAAAACTGTGTTTTTATTATGTGCAAATAGATATAGATATATATATATATATATATATACATATATAAAATTGAATGTGCTGTTGAGCGAGTCGTTTCTCCTACTCCAAAGTTAGAAATTGTAGGCCATTAAGCGTCCATCAACATTAGGTAAGACAGGTACAAACTATATATGTACTCTTCGACTTCTGCTGCTTATCAGCGAGAAAGAAGAAAATAGAAGAACGGAAAGAAATTCCCAATCGAATTGTATGGCAACCAGAATTAAAGAGAATAATAATAATTAATATTATTACTATTAATAATTAAAATGGCGCTGATGAACAAAGCACATGACACGCGCAATTCATCTTTCCCTCTCTGCGGCTATAGCTAAGCCTTTTTGCTTTGAAAACTCAGTTTTCAGACGCGTCTCGTGCATTTCAATTGGCTAATATATGGAACGACAGCCCAATGGATTTGCCCGTTGATTGTTTGTCCAGTTGCCCAGTTGCCAAGTTGTCAATATCAGTTCCATCGTTTTCATTGCGGGCGTCAAGTGCTGGCAGGCATTTTTATCGACGTAGTCTTTCCGTTTCCATCCATCTCCATTTAGTTTGTTTGCACATATTTTGATGGATGGCTTAGGAATCGTTGTGGAAACAATAACAATAATGCCAAGCCATAAGCCACACTTCGGCCATTTTGCAGCCCTTTTCATAATGATGGATCTTATGTAGTCAGTGCCGTGGCCTGAACACTTGTCACTCAAATTCCCATTGTGAGGGGTAGTCAGAAAATTAAAGATTATTATCTCACAAAGTTAAGTCATCGACAGAAAAAATGGAATCTATTTATTTATTATTTGTTGTCTAGAATATATATTTTTGTATACATATATAAATTTGTTTTCTAGAATGCAGCATTTCTTATTATAATTTTTTTGTGTATTGCATAGGCGAAATGAAGTGGAAAATGGGTGGAAAGCTGTTGTGTAAAACTTTTTTTAGATCCTCCAGCCTTTCAAGCGTTAATATCTATTTGAAACATTCTTCACAGTTTCTGGAACAGTGGTGGAAAGTATGGAAAATTCGTTCAGTTTTTATTGTAATGCTTGGCCAGGCCTAACGCCAAAAAATATCAACAAATAGTGTTTTCCAAAATAATAATATTAATTTACAACAATTTTATGGTAACAAAAAATGGTTAAAATTCTTGACATAAACATATTATTGATTTTGCATGTTGGTTTTCATAGCAATTGCAAGAAAGGCTTTTAGTTTTTTAAGTGAATACCCCTTTTTTTGTGTTACACACACACACACACACACACACACATATTTGCATTTGTTTTTAGCGACCTCAGACGAGACTCAAATGTTTATTCAAATGACAAAGGGTGTTTGTCGTCGTTGTTTGTGTTGATTGTGCAAACAGTTGGGCATATTGGTTTATCGATTTGCAAACTAGATAATTAATTAATGAAGTTGTCGGGCCAGCTAACATTTAGTTTCTCTCTCGCTCCGATTTGCAGCTAATTTAGGAAAGAATGCTACCCAGCCTGGACACCCTTATGCGTTGCTCGAAGCGTGTGCTGCAGTCGCCGATGGAGGCGGTCAAGATGCACAGCACCGGCCATAGCAAGGCGCCCGGCGGCGGCATCTATGGCCCATTTACGCCGGCCAACGATCTGAGCTGTTCCGGTCGCGGCGATTGCGTCAATAACACATGCGTCTGTGACATTCGTTATGCGGGCGACGAATGCGACTTCTTTAATTTGCCCTACTATGCGGGAATCTCCACTGTCTTCTATGTGGTGGCCCTTGTCTCGGTCATCCAGCTGCTCATTTGCATTGTGGCCGAGTATCAGCGGCTCAAACAGCCATCGATTCTGCGCGCCTGCCGCATCACCACACAAAAGCTACTCTACTTTATGGTATTTGTGGCATCCTCGCTGCGCGGCGCCTACTTCACCACACCTGTAAGTAATCGAATCCCATTCAATCCAATATAATTTATCGAAATATTAATTGTTTTTCTCTAATCCTTTGCAGCTGGATCTGCAGCCACAGTGGGCCGTCACATTGATGTCCGCCTACTATCCGCTGCTCATGACCTGCGCCTCCCTGATCGTCTGCATGTGGGCCGAGGTGAGTCGACGAGTCGCTGATCACATCCGCCTTATTGAATTACAGATGAGCGCGTGAGAAAGTTAGCGAATTGCTAACAAAACAAAGAAAAGTTCTCACAATTTTCATTTTATTTGCATTTACAAAAAGTCGTAGATCTTGTCTGTGCCGAGCTTTCAATGTCTTAAATCTTTCTCACAATATTGTTACTTTAATTGGAATTGAAAATAGGAAACGGAAATCTAGACATGCATTTTTAGTAAATTCCATAATTAAGTTCGCCAAGTAACATATTTTGCAGCTTGAATTTATGTATAAAAACTTTGTTATTCTAGTTTCCAATATCACTCGAAAATTGACTTACAATATTCATTTTAAGGCCCATAGAAAGCAATTAATACAATTATTTAGTCAATTTTATTTAGTAACAAAATAGGACTTGAAAAACCAAAGGTTTTGTATGCAATCTACAAATGTCTTAAAAGAACAAAGAAATTAAGCAAATAACTAATACAAGAGCTCAACTAACTGTTATAAAGAATTTTGACGACCAGGCCAAGCAAATTTCTTTAATCTAACCGTCAATACGACCGCTGATAAGAATATCCCAGCAACAGTTGAGATAAAAGCAGCAATAAAAACAAAAATAAAAGAGAATTATGTTTACGATTGTACTCAGCTCTTTTCGAATCTTATCCCTAATTCAAAGGCGTCACGAGTAGAGCAAGAAATTTGAAATATCACGAGCTGTTTTCATAAAGCCCAATCTTATCTTCATACTACGCTCATTTTGTGGCAGCCAGAGAGTAAATATTTTTTAGGCAAGTCAGGAACTCTTTTCTGAGCACAAAAAATAATAAGCTTTATTCAAATCTTATCCTCGTGTAAGCAAATAATTCAAAAGCGTCACGAGTAGAGCGAAAATTTTGAAATATCACGAGCTGTTTTCATAAAGCCCAATCTTATCTTCATACTACGCTCATTTTGCGTCAGCCAGAGAGTAAATATTTTTCAGGTTAGTCAGGAACTCTTTTCGGAGCACAAATATAGTATGGGTGCTATCACACAACCATCTGCAATCTCAAGTGCGACAGTTGTTCGAGTGCTTGAGTGCAAATGTACCCAATTTATTATTTATTTTTGTTCATTCCCAATTACAATTGTTTTTCAACGCTTCTCATATCGCAATAGGCAAGCGCAATTTATCGCGCCCATTAATTAGACTTTGTGGGAACGTCTGAAAGTCGAGTACGTGCGCACTCTCCAGCGTATTGGCCACATATATACCATATATATGTATATATATATATATATATATATATATTAGTTGATTCGTGTGGCTTTTCTTTCAGATATTTCACCTGCGCGACATACGCTGGGAGAGATCGCAGTTCCTGTCGAAGAGCTTCCTGGGCTTTGTCGCTTTCAACTTCTTCCTGTACAGCCTGTTTGGCATTGAGGTCTTCAGTTCGCTGATAAACTCGGAGCGTCGTGATTATGCGCACATCTTCAATGGCTGCTATGCTGTGCTCCTGCTGATTGTCGTTATCTTCTTTCTGATTTATGGCGTCGAGGTGTTCTTCAAGCTGCGTGGCGGTTTTGTGTACGATCAGACGGGCAAAATACTTGGACCCAGCGAGGCAATTGTGAATGCCTCGCAACTGCATCAGTCGCGCTTCGGATTGCTCAGCCAGGGCATAATGCTAATTGTGATTGTCGGCTTCCTCACCTCCGAAACGCTTGGCGACTTCTGGAAGGCCAAGTAAGTCCTCGCTTGCCACTTTAACGTAGACGTGAATTAACTAATATCTCGATTTGTTTCTTTTTTGTCAGAGTGCCTGTCAATTCGCGCAACTGGTATGACATAATCTTTCGTATTGCCGAAATAGGCGTCGCCTTGTGGTTTCCGTGCTGTCTGTGGAACTGTATGGCACCAGAACAGCTTTGGATACTGAATCCACGCAAGCTGCTGTCCCGTCAAATCGATCCATCGATACCGACCCTCAATGCGGACAGCAATAAATTATCGCCCGAGGAGGGCCAGACGTTCTTGACCAAAAAGGATTGCTGGATATGCTATGACAGCGATAAGCCCGAGCCGCTCATCCAGCCCTGTCGATGCACTGGCGACGTCAGCTCTGTGCATCACGAGTGCCTTAAACGCTGGTTAGTCGAGAGCTGCGGCAGCAACAACGAGGCTCAGCTGGCGTGCAAGGTTTGCTCGCATCCATACGAAATTGAGAAATCCAAAAAGTAAGTCAACCGCAAATCCATCCCAATTAACAATATTTCTAATCGACTCCTACTCCGCGCTCTAGACTCGAGTGGGACAAGGGCTTTACCATTCAGCATTGGATGAAGACCGTCATATTGATAACGCTGATGTGTGTGACCGGTGCCACAGCCTGGGCCATTATACAAATGTACGTGGATCCATTGGTGCGCGTCCTAACCGTTGGCGTTGCTGTCCTAATTGGCTACGTGTGCGTCAAATGTCTGGGCGAGAATACTGTGGTGGCGTATCAGCGTGCCAAAGTCAGCTCCATTAATATTGTGACCAGCTCCGAAATGGAGAAACTGCATACCATATGCGAGGATGTCAGTGCTAGCACCTCCGCGGCAGCAGCAGTGCAGGCCGCCTCCTAAAACCATAAGCAGTTGTAGTCTATGCCATACGGAAACATCACACCCATTTACAGTTGCATACAAATGCGTAGGATATATGCAGACAGACGACAGACACTATACATACGATTTAGTTTAGATTAGCGCCCGTTTAGCACATATATTTTGCTCAATCCCCCCCCAAAATTCTTCCCCGCAAACTGTGTACATAGGTTTTAAGTCATTTAGTGTTTAGGAAAAACGGTTCGGAAAAAACGAGTCAATTTTGTCTCTCAAAGTAGCACGCATTATTCCAAGCGGTACATGTATTAAAACGAAAACGGATATAAAAAAAAAACAACAAGCCAAATATTATATAATCTATGTACCACATACATAAGCCAGTATCAATTATACACAAATTACCGAGAACGTCTTGAGATTATGATTATGAGAACACGTTGCCAAGTAGCTGGAGAAGTTTTTAAAATTAAATACGCGTAGGTAACAACGGCACCAGTCAATGTCAGTCTAGCTGAGCATGTTTGTAGTTTTTAGAGTACACGTTAAGTTCTTAAACACGGCACAGCTAAGTTTATTTGGCGAATATTAATTTAGGAACACACATACACACATATATATACAAAAATACTTGTATTTTTTTTTTAATTTGTATTCATGGCGAATACGGTTCGCAGTACACCTTAAGCTTATACTTAACAAATATAATTTATGAACCATTTATATATTTATTTATATATACATATATGTATATGTAAAACGCGCCCACATTTGAATTGTGTTATTCAAAGCGATTTTGCTATCCAAACATAGTTTCAACAAATTATCAACAACAAATTGAACACAACATATTTACACATTAAGCTTATATACATTTTTGTGATAAACCAGTTTAATATAAAAACATTTATATCAAATAAAATTCGTGTTTTAAATATGTTTAAAGAAAACTTCTCTTTCTGTATGGATTTCATAACTAACGATAATCGCTAGTCTAGGATATTTTTTATATAGCAAAGGTATGAATCCGCCTTATTCAACAGGAAACCATTAACCTCCGGGCTTTCTTTAATTGTGGTTTATATTTATTGTCTTCAGGTAAACGATGAACATTGATGCACATTGTGATCATTGCACACCTTTCAAACATCTTGGGAATCCTTTTAATACGTTTGCATAGTGTGAAATGTACAAACAAAACATCTCACGAAAGCAAAATCTTATCATTTTTTTTTCCGCGCCATATAACATATGTGCTACTATATCAAATATTTGAGTCTTGAAATACGTCATATATCTAGCGCTTTTGTTTGAAATCATTTGTGGCAATACACTTTTGCGAAAGTTAATGAGGTAAATTTTTGAAAAAGCTATAAGCTAGAAAAATGATTTAAGATGCAATATTCAATTTTCAGCATTATTTTTTATGGCAGAAATTTTTCATTCAAATCACTTGGCTAATCTTGTCGTAAATAGTTTCAGCGCCTCTTGGCTACAAGGTTTACCATAATATAAGAAGGTTGTAAGGCAATAGAGGCCTAACAAGCCGTAATTGACAAATTATAAATAAAATTGATAAGAAATGTATTTAACTATGTTTAGCACAGATTTAATGGCAGTCGCCAGCTTCGCCCAAAATTTGCTGGCGACACAGCTCCCAAAAGCGAGACCATCTATATTACAAATTCGACATTTTTGAAATATTCATTGAAATAGTGAAATAGATATTCCTCGTTGTACGATTGCGCAACCTTCAATTCCTTCAAAATCTTTGAAAAGAAATAAAACAGTCATCATATTTGTTGTCCTTTAAGTCTAGAGTTATACATTTATTTTACACGCAATACCTATCAAATTTATAAGTTTTATATGTATACAGAATATGCTTACATAATATGCATAAAAAAGAGACGTCGAGCCTTGACAAGCTTTTCATTATTGTATGCATCTATAATGTGCTATGTATATATATATATGTATTTGAAAAGATCAACAACGTAAAGAAAAATAAAGACTTAAATAAAATTCATACAGTCCTTCAAGCTGGCACACAATTCAATGCCAAAATTCAATTTTATAGATCACATTACTAGCTAATAATATAATATGCGATATATGCTAAATCGACTAAAGGCTACAAGCTAAATATCTTTTATTTTAGTTGCTAGAAAACTATTTGAATTTAGTCGAGAAATATAACTTGGCCGAAAGTGCCTTAATTTAGAGCGACTGATGTAGCTTTTGGTACGCTACGCCGTTTCATGGACTACGTAAGACAATTCAACTAATGGGAGCGAGTCCTGGGTCGGCGAATGATGGGTGCTCATGTTTATATATGCTAGGATGTTGCCAGATAGGTTGTTGTTAGCTGGAGGCGGCAGCAGAGGAGCTTATTGTACGACGGCCGAGCGCTTGTCGCGGTTCTTGCCACGTGTTATGGAACGTGCCTTAAAAGCGGCGGCATTCACCAGATGCTGCAAATGGATACAAATAATATTAGATATAGCGAATCCAAACAGATGATATTTCACCCGTATAAAGTAACTTACGCGCTCCAATTTCGACTGTTTGACTTTGGCGTTGCCATTGATGCCAGTGTTGGTGGGTCGCGGTCCCAGCTGGAAAATATCGCGTATGAATTCATTCTCCTGCAGCTGGGAGGTCATGCCAGGACCCATAACAGTGCACAGGGCCGAGTATTGATGGTGTATGGACCAGGCATCCAATGTGAGAGCATCGTGTCCGAAACGTATATTGATCTCTGGCGAAATATCCTCCTGCATGATCGGACAATACAGAGGCGTCAATTTAGCAAGCGTCGACACAAATTTCAGACCGAAAATGTCTAGCTCTTAACAAATTCTCTATCAACTATTTATATTCGTTTTACTCTTTCTTGAGCCGGGCAAAATTTTATGTGGAACTTAAAAAGATAATTATAAAATTTAAAAAAAAACTAAAAAAAACCAATATTTCTTTTAACCGGCCTTCAAAATGATGCTTTCCACTTATCAACACGACTATGTTCCGCCGAACACGAAGCGCTACGAGTTTATGAGCCACCTCAAGACAAATGACGGCTTCGGGGGGCCAAAGGTTGTGGAATGCGAATGCGTGGAGGAGGACAAGGTTAAGCCGCCGGCGGACGCGGTCAAGAATTGCTCGGGCGTGGAATGGACGGGTATAGCACCGATGGGACGTTTGGTGGATCCACGTCTAATACCAACCGAACTGGCACAGGATCAGGTGGAGAAAATGGCATTTGCCCCGGAATCGGATTGCTTGAAGCTGCAGCCGAATCGGTTTCTCAAAATATTACGCAACATCTATCCAGATTTGTACGAGCGTCTGAAGTTAATGCCCAAGGAGGAATTGGGTCGCAGGTTGGAAACGAATCGCATGTACACAACCTATCAGATTGACTACTGCGACGTGAACGAGTACCCGGAGGGCATCTACGAGAGCATGAAGCCCACAGACGAAGCATCCAAAATGAAATCGGACAAACTGATGGCGCATAAGGCGCCCTGTTCCGAATTCCGTTCGGATGTGATGAAGCAGCTAGAGCGCGAAAATACAACCGGCTACGAGGTCAAGGCCGACGAATGCGAGCAAGCGTATAAGCCATTCAAGACCTCGTTCTCCGATTCGTCCCAGTTCGTCAACTCGGGCAACAACTCGCACTGGAAGACGGCAGGCAGCACGTTCCGCAAGGTGCCGAACTTTACCGAATATATGGACTCAATTAGCCGCAACGGCTGCATCATAATGCGCAACAAGCTGCATGACCATTCCAAGTGTCTGGCGAATCATTGCAGGCACGAGATCCGATTCAACTGCACCGACATGAAGCAATAGTCTGAAGAATCTCTAATCCCCGTATACTATGCCAGTGTTTGTTTTGGTTTGTAAAACTTTTCGATATGTATAAATTGTAAAAAACCAGATCGCAGGGTTTTTTGCTAGTTAATAAGACTGTTTCTGGCTCCCGACTAAATTTATTGTCCGTGTCCAAGACTCACCTCCAGATAGCGCAAAACATCACGGAACGTGGCGCGCTGCGCCTTGCGATCGCGTTTGGCGCGATATTTGTGCGAATCGGTGGCCAGCTGCTTGACGGCATCGCACAGCTCACCAATGTGCTCCTCCAGGAAGTTCTCATCGTGGGCACGGCCCGATTCCAGAATTAGGGCAATCGTCTCGCCAGCGGCCATGCGTACATCCAAGTGCGGTGATTGCAATAGACCCAAAAACTTTTTGATAGACCTGCAAAGGCAATTTTAGTTAGATCAGCATCTACCATTTGGCTGTCCAACCGGCGGCTGCTTACGGAAACTTGTGCTGTCCGGTGGTCATCAATGAGACAAAGTCGCCCGAAGGGACGAGCGTCAGAAGCAAGCCCCAGGCGGATAGAGCCTCGGCATGCAAGGCACCAGCCTCGGCAGTGACGGAAATGGGCGTCTTGTCGTCGCCGCGCAAATAGCTGCCGGCAAAGATGGTCTCGAAGAACTGCATCAGCTGCACCAGATCGCCAATATCCTCGCAGTCCAGGAAGTTGAGTAGACCCAGTGCTGTGCAGCATTTGGCGCGTGCATCATAATTGACAGATTTATCCTGCACGGTGGTCAGCAAAAACTGATTCATGGCCTTGGACATGCCCTCCTCGCCGCCCAATTGCAGCACCAGCAGCGGCGCCAGACGTGCACCCCACATTTGCTCCTGGCCCTTGCCACGGCGCACGCTCTTCTCCACAAAGTCCATGAGCGTCATTTTACGATCCTCGACGAAATCGGGCATATAACGGTGCATCAGCAGCTCACAGATGGCCTGCAATGCCTGGACGCGTGTCTGCGCCGACTTCTCGGTGGCCTGTTCCAGAGCCTTTTCGAACTTCTCCTCGAAGCGCTCATTGGCTAGATCCTCGGCTGCCTCCGAAGAGGCGACCTCCGAGACGTGCGAATAAACGCTCACATTGTCAAAGGACTCGTCCTCCGAATTGGAGTCGTTGGTGCGGCCTGCTAAAGTTTTTTAAAAAAGCTTGCATTAACGAGCTGTTCAAACTGTAGGTTTTTTGAATTTAACTTGTTTAATTATTTCCGCTGCTTTTTAAACTGATCGCACTTACAGTTGTTCCGATCGCGCTGCTTATCAAGCTATTAAGCTATTCACATACATGACTGGCAGTGCTGCCTAAACTGTTAAATAACTATTCCCACTGTTGCCTCACTGTACATACATATGTACATGACTGGCAGTACTACCTAAACTGTTAAATGACTATTTCCACTGTTGCCTCACTGTCAAGTTATTTGCGTTCTCATCGCCACTCAAACTGTTAAAACACACTCATTTCTTGTGATATGACTCAGCTCTCGCGAGCGAGATACATATATAGTGATGTTCATGTGCATGTACATATGTATATGCATACAAAGCAAATATTTCTAGTACCTTAATTTTCCGCTTGGCAGCGATATTTTTGGCATGTGTGTGTGTGTGCGTGTTTTATAAATACAATTACGTACATACATATCTATTTACATTTGTAGGTACAACAATTACAACAAAAGTAATTGAATGCCCATTGGCATTTTTGGGGCAATTGTACGACCTTCAAATGAAAATGTTGTGCAACAAGTTTTACCATTTGTTGTTGCCAAAGAAAAACTCGCCTAACTTTCTATGCACACAACAATTTTCACTTAGCAGCTGACTACCGATTTGGGACAAGGTAATTTCCGCCATTGAGTTTTCATTTTCTCATTGTAGGGAAAGGCATACACATTTGTGTATATGTGCGTATGTATCTCGACAAAAACAAAATTGCTGCTTGTTTTGCAATCACAACAACCTGAACAGCTGTTGGTAAAACCAACTGTGATTTGAAAGTTGTTTGGTTAGTTGGGGTTGAGTCTTGAGCTGTGCTCTGAGCATAATTTGAGTCCCTTTAATTATTAAGACTCTTCATAAAATGAGAACCATTGGTAGATATGTAGCTGCTTCCGCATAAGAAACCCTATTTTGCTAGAAGCACCCAATGTTTATTTATAAATATAACCTAGTGATACATACAGACGTGCTTGCATGTGATTACATACATACAGTTACTAAAAGAAATATATATGTATATATATATGTATACATATAGCTGTGTGTTGCTTTGTGTATTTCTTGATAAGCTGGCATTGAACGTTCACACTTGTACAGTGTGCACATACACTGAACTTGCCGCCGAGTCTATGGGGTATTTAAGACATTTTGAAAGCTGGCAAACTTACAAAAAATATTTAACAATTAAAGTTTTTCGTGAAATGTTTAATAACTTCAAAATATCTCCCAAGTTGCTTTAACAAATAAACAAGCAGTTCCAACCTATAAAAATGTAAAGAAAATGTGCTAATCAACAGAGTTTAACTAAATATGCTCTCGCAGGGTATCACGCCATTCGAATACATGGCAAATAACCGTTGGATTTTCTTCGTGTTTGCCCTGCTTCAGCAGCTGAGCGCGTGCAAAGCTTTTTGCGTTTGCCAGCGCAGCAACACAAAAATATATTTCGATGATTGCCAAACAGGTTGGAGGCGAAAGCTTTTGAAGCCAACGAAATGTATATTTCATTTAAACATGCTATTTGAATGAGTAATGCACGACAGAAAGCTGTGTGCAAAAGGTCAATAAATGAGTTTTCAGATGGTACCAGCTGTAAAAAGCTGCCACAGTTCTTAACACAACCCCCTCTCAAACTACGTATCACCCACGACATCTTTAAATTTTTCTTTGTGACTCACCTTTGCCTCCTGCTTTTTTATTACGACGCGGCATATTGTTGTTGTTGTTTTTGCTGCTGTTGCGTTGCTCGCTAAATTGACGAATTTTGTGTTTGGTTTTACTTTGGCTGATCTTGACTACGATCGCTGTTGTTTTACACACACAAACACAAGCCTTGTTGGGCAGTGTCCTTTTGCGCGAGAGCGTGAGAGAGTCTACACAAAAAATTCTACACACGCGCTTGGCGGCAACTATTGGCGGCACTTGCACGTGTTCTCTGCTTTTATTGATTTTATACGTATTGGGCCTTCAGGAATTTAGGTTAGATTTTTTGGTGTTATGGGAGTTCTTAATCTTTATGTGCTTTGTTTAAATTGCAAGATTGTTAATCAAGACGCAGCTATGCAAAAGCTTTTATGCTTCCAATATTGTCTTTGTTGCTGTGCCTGCTGTTGCCTTTTGTTGCACAACACGCGTTTGGAAATGTTGAGAACTGATACCGAACTGAACGTTGTTGAATTGAACGCGCGTTTTTTATTTATGCACTGCTGATGTTGCTGCTCCTGATTATAAAAATGATGGTAGTTGCTTTGTGTTGACACAAATTTCATGTTTAATTGCAATTGAATTTCGTTGCTACTTCCTTGGCCTTGAGACTGACTGCGTCTGACGTCGACAGCGCCGCCTTTTTTCCGAGGGTGTATAACGAGTTGTGAAATTGTTGGCTTTAGCGTTTGCGGTTTCGTTGTTATTGACTCTTTTTTAATATGCACGTATGCACGGCTTTAGCTTTGATTATTGCAGCTTTTCCAAAAGCTCTGCGTCGTTGGTGTGTTGATAAAATAATGCAAATAATTAAGCACTTTTCGTATTGCTGAAGTGGACGAAATTATAATGACACATTCAGAGCAGTGTTGCGAAGTGTTTAAAGTGTTTATCGCAAAAGAGTTATCGAAGTAATAACATTACACAACCCTAGTCATTGCGCATCTGCGCAAATGTGATGAAATAAAAATAAAAACCCTAGACATTATTTTTACTATTAAATACAATTGAATTAAATTATACTAGGCGGCAAGGGATTCCCGACCTAGATTATAATTAAAAATAAAATATTTTAAAAAGAAGTGCGCATAAAAAAGCAGTAATGATATTTTTCGGAATTCTTACCAGCTGTTTGCTTAAAAGGTGGCGCCAACCAAAGTTTTGATTTAAATTTTTAAGTCAATATATAAACCGACTAATTAATGGTATTTTATTTATTATTACAAGCCACAATAATCAAATATCACTTATATAATGTATTTTATCATATATTTTTTCCAAAAGCATCTGCTTTGTTATCGATTATTTGAAATAAATCAAATCAAAATCAATTTATATAATACAAGCGTCTCATTTATTTCTATTTGTATACTTCCCATCTATTTAATAAAAGATAGAAAGAGATATTTTCTTAAATGAGAAATATTCTATTTTTCGCCTAGTTATTAATAATATTTCAAGATATTCTAAATGGTTGACCAACTCATTTAGAAAATTCATTTGAGTGAGGTGCAGCAGTACCCTGTATTTGTCATCGATATTGACAAATCCCATTTTAATATATATATATCGCAATTTTCAATATATCGATATATAGTCTCACCCACATTCATTCCCAAGTCTGTTTATTTTTATTGCAAAACGAATTTAAAAACAAGTAGTCGGTAGGCAGCAAAGCGTCGGGTGCTGCTTGGTGCTCTTATAAACAATTCGCACTTAATGCCGATAATTAGTTGTTATCACCGATGCTTGTTTGCTACACACAAAAGCAGCAGCAGTAGCAATAATTTTTATTGAACTTCGACTCCTCAGAACTCGAACTTTGTCATTTCTCTTCACACACGCTCGCATACACGCACACACACATGCAGTTGCCAGCGTCAGTGGATGTGAATCAATAACAAAACCCCAACAACAACGACGACAACAACACAGCCCGAGAAACTTACAGCGTCATTTTTGGGTGTCTGCACTTGCACAAGATAATTAGGTAATTTGTAAACTGCTTGCGACAGCATCAGCGCCATTCACCTGCGTGTTGGCGTTCGTTGTTAAATGTTCAATGCTTGCTGCCAAGCGGGTGCGACGGAGAGGGGGCAAATGCGAGAGATATTCACGATTATCGCTGAACCTTAGCCGTTGTATCTGTATCTAATCTAATGTTTATAGCCAGCTGAATTCCAATTTATATTTCAACAGTTATTGCAAGCAATGGCTGGCATTGAGGAGCGTTTCCAGGCGGCTGTCAACGTGATCAAGGGACTGCCCAAGAATGGTCCCTATCAGCCCAGCATGAGCATGATGCTCAAGTTCTATGGGCTCTTCAAGCAGGCGTCGGAGGGCAATTGCTCACCAAAGAAGCCGCCCTTCTGGGATGTAGTTGGGCGTGCCAAATGGGATGCGTGGAATAGCAATCGAAATTTGAGCAAGGAGCAGGCAATGCAACGCTATGTGGAAAGCCTGCAGGAAATCATTGAGACAATGTCGTTTACGGAAAATGTGCAAAACTTTGTCGGCAGCCTCGAAGGCCTGACCAATATAAATTTGGATGAACTGGAGCTGATATCGCCGGGTATGCGTGAGCTGGCCGAATCGCATCCCAATTCCCCGTTCCATTCGCGCACAAACAGTCCACAGCATGGCAGCAGCTCCAATGGAGTTGGAGTTGGAGTGGTAGATGCGCCCATCGTTGCAGCGTCAACGGAGACCCTAACCAATGGCCACATGACGCCGCTGACCAATGGATACACGAGCAAAACAAGCAACGGCTACGCAGCACATGACACGAGCAGTAACAACAATTACACAAACAACAGCAGCGTGGCCATTGTGGAGCCCTCCGATGACGAGTACGATGATCCCTACGAAACGATGCTGCCCCAGGAGCTCACAGAAGCGATTACACACAATACGGATCTGCTGCGACAAATACAGAACACTGTGGCCAGCATGAACACCGATATGGCTGCAGTGCAGCAGCGGGTGCGCTGCATGGAGCAGTCTCTGCTGGAACTGCGCAATGCACAAAAGACGCAGGCAGCAGCTGGGCGAAAGCAGCCAGCCTGGTGGCTGTTCAAGGATATATCGCCATTATGGTTTGCAGTTCTGGTGCTATGGCCTTTCTTGGTGCGACGCCTGGCGCGGATGGTGGAGAGCAGACGCCGCTGACGGCGCAAGGCATTAGATTAGCTTAATCGGTATGGTAGTTAAATTGTGAGTATAAATGATAGACAGTAAATAAATCAAGTGACAGTTGAAAACGATCAATTGAGATTAATTAGGGTCGTGTCGGAGAGTGAAAGATCAATATTTCAGGTCAGGTCGATCCTTCGGCCTAAGTTGGAATATATTTTTATCAAAATTATCTCAAGCGATTAACGACAGAATAACACAAAAATTATACTCACTTGAATGCTGGCAATTTTATAATCCTATCAGTAAATTCCATTGAATACATTCTTAGTTTATTACTTCTATCAATAATGTGTGTTAACTTCTTTCAGATACTCACGGTTATGGGGACGAGCTTTGTCTGGCTTGCTTTTATTCTCGAACGCGTTACACTTCTTGTACAGAGTTGGCCTTGTATTTAGTTTCTTAAGATTATCCAGTTGCAATATGTATATTTTATACGTAGAATGTGTGTATATGTATTTTTTATGTTAGTAACAAACGAGCACACATAAGCTATTAGTTGCACATTCCCCTCCCCGATCAACATATTTAGTTCGTAAGACGAAGGTTTTGTGCATTTTGCCCAGGCTGGGCGCGCTTTTGCTTTGACCCACAGCGTTGCCTCTTCACCAAGAGACTGGGGCAAATGGTTGTAAAACAATTTGATTTGTGTTAATTATAATTTTGTAATAAAGTCATGTAAAATGCAGAATATCACAATTCGGCTGTCCTGGAATACTTTTAGTTCTGCGGCTGAGCAGTGATGCGCAAGTAGCTTTTGCCGGAGGGCACTTGGATCGTCTCCACACCGTCAGGAAAAAGCTGTGGCACATCGGCAGCCTGCACTGTGGGCAGCACCATGCACTGACCGCCCGGTTGCCAATCTGCGGGCGTGGCCACGCTCTTTGTTTGTGTCAACTTGAGCGAATCGACAACGCGTAAAATTTCACTGCCAGAGTAAAATACGATTCAGCTAATGGTCAAGTTTAAATACAAATTTGAAGCTCACTCGAAATTGCGACCAGTGGTGGCTGGGTATAAAATAGAGAGACGCAGCTTCTTCTTGTCGTCAACAACGAAGACAGCGCGACAGGTAAGCGGTATGCCCGCAGCATTCAGCTCATCCTTGTCCAGCATATTCAACTTGACGGCCAACTCGCGCTTATCATCCGCAATAATGGGATAATCGAAGCTCGGCAGCTCTGCAAGAAACCAAGATTTATGAAGCCAATAGGAGACAGATCTCATGTGGCACGTCACAACTTACTGCCATAGCTCTTAATGTCCTCAATCCAAGCGTTGTGGGACTCTGCTGTGTCACAGGACAGAGCAATCGGTTTAATGCCGCGCTTCTGAAATTCCGGTATTAATTGGGCAACCCGTGCAAGCTCCGTGGTGCACACGGGAGTGAAATCTGCCGGGTGCGAGAAAAGGATGGCCCAGCTGTCGGCCATCCAGTCATAGAAATCTATTTTCCCCAGATTGGTCTGAGCCTCAAAGTTGGGAAACAGATCACCAATGTTAAGAGCTTTGAGCGACATTTTAAAAAATGTAACAAATTAATTGAACGAAAAGCAATTAAAAGTTCTGCAGCTGACAGACTATCGATATCAATGCTCGGCTTTTTATCGATAGCTAGATATCGATTCTATCGTTCGCATTTTTATCAGCAGTCAACCAAAACAAACACTTCAGTTTAAAAATATACATATTTAACAAAAACAGGCTTTAAGGCAACATGTCTGATCTTGGCATCAGCGGAACTCAGGTGCAGCCACAGCCCCCGCCACCTGTCGCCGAGCCCTTTCGCATAACAACGAATGCGCCACAAATGATTGATGCAAACCTGACGGAGGGACGTCGAAAGCTCCAGAAGTGGCTGGGTCGCGTCTTGCGAATCGTTATTACCGATGGACGTGTATTGGTTGGTTTCTTCAACTGCACGGATCGAGATGCCAACATTGTGTTGTCCATGTGCGCCGAGTATCTGGTGGAGGGACAAGAGCCTCGTCTGCTGGGCAACGTCATGGTCGCCAAAAAGCATATTGTGTCTCTGAACATTGACGAGCCTAGGCCCTCATCAATTATTTGAGCGCTGTAAATGCATCCTTTTAAATATTGTAAGAATATAAGTGTTCCATACTGTGCTTATATGTATATACAGTGAACAATAAAAGTAAGGCTACGGCGTAGTCGTTTGTGGACTATCTATGTTAGTCCGTTTAAGAATAAAAGTAACACCAAATGATAAATATACACATAACTAAAAAAAAGCTGTCTATTCATTTGCTTAATTTGGTAAACAAAACTTTTAATAAAATTAAATGATTATACACAAAGTTCAGTTTTCTTAAGAGGGTCTGTTACTTATTTTAATCACTGTAAGAATTCTCATTGTTTTTATGTTAGTCAAAGTGAATGGCAATACGCTGCGTTGCCAACTATATTACAAACAAGTCTGCTATATTTTTGATTTTTTAGCTTTTGCCTATCAGAAAATGTGAACATTTCGCTTAATATTCGAAAATTAATTGCCAAACAATTATACTCTGTTAATATATTTTACCAAATCAAATCAGCTGCAAGTGTGGTATTTTTTTTATTTGTATTCGAAATCATGGATTTTTTAGTGCGTTTGTTATTCTCAGCCGCAAACAGCAACAACTAAATTGTTGAAACGCGTTATTAATAATGTCAACACAGCAGTAGAGCAATTAATTGCTAAAAATCAACACTCAATTGAACACAATCAGCGATGGATTTCACGACCTTCGTCAAGCCTTCAAACGGGGGCGCCGGCGGCGATACTGAGAACGCCGACACCAGCAAATTACAATTTTGGAAGCACGTCGAGTATATTGAGAACCATGGCAAACAGGAGGACGACTACGAGTATTGCATGACGGAGTTCCTGCGCATGTCGGGCATTTACTGGGGGGTCACGGCGCTGGACATAATGGACCAGCTGGACCGGCTGGACCGCAAGTCCATCATTGAGTTCGTGAAGCGATGCCAGTGTCCGATAAGCGGGGGCTTTGCCCCCTGCGAGGGCCACGATCCGCACATGCTCTACACGCTGTCTGCGGTGCAGGTTCTGTCCACATACGACGCGCTGGACGTGATCGACTGCGATGCGGTGGTTCGCTATGTTGTTGGTCTGCAGCAGCCGGATGGCAGCTTCTTTGGCGATAAGTGGGGCGAGGTAGACACTAGGTTTAGCTTCTGTGCGGTGGCCACGCTGGCGCTGCTCAAGCGCATGGAACAGAGCATAGATGTGGAAAAGGCGGTTAAGTTTGTTATGTCGTGCTGCAATCAGACGGATGGCGGCTTTGGCTCCAAACCGGGCGCTGAGTCACATGCAGGTGAGTCATGGATATTTATTTGTATGATACAAATTAACTTTCATCTGCGTCCCATGCAGGACTCATTTACTGCTGCGTGGGCTTCCTGTCGCTAACACATCAGCTGCATCTATTGGACGTTGATAAGTTGGGCTGGTGGCTTTGCGAGCGACAGATGCCCTTGGGCGGACTGAACGGTCGTCCCGAGAAGCTGCCCGATGTCTGCTACTCCTGGTGGGTACTCTCTTCGCTGACCATTATGGGGCGGCTGCATTGGATTAGCGCCGAAAAGCTGCAGCAGTTCATTCTCTCCTGTCAGGATACGGAGACGGGCGGCTTCTCTGATCGCACCGGCAACATGCCAGACATATTCCACACGCTCTTCGGCATTGGCGGCCTCTCACTGTTGGGTCATGCCGGACTCAAGCCGATTAATCCCACGTTCTGCATGCCGCAGTATATTATCGACAGGCTGGGCATTCAGCCGCAGGTTCTGACGCATGCGTAGGCATCTAATTCAGTTATTGATGATATTAAGACAAAAGCTATAGCCAATGTAATATGATTAATTTTTTAAAGCGGACCTCACGCGTATTATGAAACCTTAAAGCACCCAAACCAGATTCAACTAGACAGATTCACAGTTCATTTCTTTGTATCTACACCCATATTTAACTAATTATGCTTGTTATGCATTTAGTATATATATTTAGCTGTATTTTTAAATACATATATAAAGCATATTCTAATGTTTCATAAGCAAGCCATGTAAAATTTCTGTATTTGTTATATAGAGCAAAACTAAATAAAGACACTATTTTATTATTGCATGCGAATAAAGATATTTGCACTGGTCAGAGTATAATGAATCAGGCATTTCATTAAACAACAAAAGAAACCCTTTAGGAACTTATTGGCAATTACAAAAACCAACTTAATAATTTATCCAAGTGATATATCTGACGTGTTTGTTACCAATAGAAATATGCGAAAAATCAAATTATATTTTTTTTGTAAGAGATTTAAAATAAAATTAAAGCTTATTAATTAATTGAGTATGCATATTTCCAATTCAATATTTTATTTTTTAAAAAATAACGAATATATGCGTGTAAAATTTCAAATTTTTATATTTTAATATTAAACAATTTAAAAATTAGATATGTATGCAGATAATATATACATTAGGAAAATATTGAGTGTAAGACTAATACGATATCGTGGCATATGAATTACATACAAAGGAAAAATAAATCACACAAAATCTGAATTACAAACTAGAAACGAAGTGTAGTCACAGTGCGGCCTTCATAAAAGAAAATAAATGAATTCGCTTTCAATTAAAGGCAATTGAAATAAATTTATAGCGCATAAATATATTAACTGGCCAGCAGAAGGCTGTCTATTGTGTGTGTGTGCGAGTGTGTGTGTGTGTGTGTGCGAGTGTGTTTGTGTGTAGTATACTTCGATGCACGTCTAAGGCACTCTAGAAACAATTTCAGCTATATATTCGCCTACACACTAATAGAAGGATAACTAGGAATTATTGAACTTCTCATCGCTGGTCAGCACATTGTAGGCACATCCTAAGGCCCAGGAGATTTCATGACCATCAATCTTTTTGTAAAGCTGCGCAAATAAACAGGAAAACAAAGTAATTAGCACAATTCTAAACAAATTAATATATATGTATATAATTTACACTTTTAACACACCTTTACTTTCTTGCTGTCGTTAAGGCCGAATCCTTCGCGCAGCAGCACCGATATGAAGGTTAAGTCGAAGCACATGAATGGCTGCTCATCATTGGGTATGGCACAGATTTCCTGGGCCTTCTTGCGATAGGCCTCCACCGTGGTCTCACCGCCGGCCGTGGGATCAACCAATCCCGATTCGATGGCGCGCTCAAAGTAATAGCTAAATGCGGCTACGGCATGCTGTTTGAGCGTGAAGGGTTTTGGCTTCACCAATGGCATTACTTTGCTCTTGACCAGCTCCAGGCATGCCTCGAAGTCAACGACTGGCTGCTCGGCGCTGGATTTGCTGTTCTCCTTGCCGCTGACCTGGTATTTGACATTGCCGTACACCCAGGTGCGATTGGCAATGATGGGATTGACGCAGACGCTCTCCACCACGGTGTCCTCGGCGCTATAGCCCTTGGTAAAGACAGCATGACGTGCGGCCATTAAACCGAGGCCCAGATAGCTGTGTGTAAACACATTTATCTTCTTGTTGGAGGTGACCACCTCGTGCATATACTTGTCGTAGACGGGCACCTGCTCGGGATCTGTGGGCGAGAACGTGACCTGCGTGCTGCCGCCGCCCAAGTCTAGGGCAGCTGCCTGGTTCGTCTTGGACAGACGGCCCAGCAGAAAGTTAACGGTGAACCAGCTGAATATGCCCTCATCAGTGCCATTCATGATCTCAACGGCATCAATGTCCACATTAAACTCGGACTTGGCGAACAAATCGCGCACTGCATTCAGCAGATTCTCCGCCTTGCTCTGTGGCAGCAGCCGCAAGCCAGCTGTCGCCTTCAGCACCAGCGGCGTGGACGACCAATGCTCCTTGGGTATAAAGGCACGCGCCTCGTCCAGCAGCAGCTTGATCGAGTGTGCGCCCTCGGCTGGATTATCGGCGAACGAGCTAAGGCCGGGCTTGCGCTCCTTAAACAGCTCCTCATACAGCACCAGTTTGTTGTCAATGAAACTGCGATTGAACTTGTACGCCAGGACGCGACTGCCCGTCGAGCCGGCATCTATGATCGCCGCATACTGAACCTTGCTGTAGCCCAGCTTGGAGGCCAGACGCGCCAGATACGGGCTCGCATTGTCGGATACGGCGCCTGCATGGTTGTTGTTGTTGTTGTGATTATGTGTCGTCGGTTTCGTTGTTGGACGTGGCGCATTTAGTTGTGCACGATGCGTGTCCAGGTGCGGCGATTCATGAAAGGGGACGGTAACAGTGGGAAAATCAGAGGTTTTAGTTAGTTTCGGCACAATTGGCGTCGAGGGTTTAGCATTATACAATTGATACACACCAAAGACAAACAGCAGCAGGACCACAGACACAATCAAACATAGAAATGATACTTTTAGGCCGCTGGTCACACCGCCACGTCCATTTCCGTTTCCGGCGCCGCTGCCCTTGCGTCGATTCGGCTGCGGTACCTTTTCATCGCTGGCCAGCTGCATTATACAAAATCGCAATAAAATAAACAGAATTATTATAGTTTTCTCATTAGTTCATATAGGTAGCCAAATGTGTTAAAT